GTGTGTGTGTGTGTGTGTGTGTGTGTGTGCGTGTGTGCAAACACTTAACGTGGTTGGGTTTTGGTATTACCTTTAAAGGAAAAAAGCGACCGAATAATGAATTTATTTCTTACTTTTTTCATTTCTTACAATAATATAAAATTGATTTCTTTTTATTTCTCACAATAATATGAAATAATTTCAGGTGCACTTTATCATCGTTGGAATAAATTTGAGAAGGCAAATTTTGCATATTGGAAAGCACTTTATTTTCAACAACAATTTAGAAATGTTCAACAACAAAAGAGTAAGTTGACAATAAGATGACAAATGAATGCTATAGCGAAGTGTGATAAGTTATGGTGGATATGGTGTAAAATTGATAAGAGCTGAAGTAAAATTTGTGAATGTTGAGAGATTCAAAGTTTTAATTAATCATGAATATTGGGCAGTTCGACAATTGGTCATCAATTTTTTGTCTTTCAATTACCGTTAATGCAATAAAATAATATGACGTTGTGTATATTTTCTTATTTCTTTTTAACTGTTTACAAATATATCTAATATTAATTGATTTATATGCTTAAAAATGTACAAAATGCAAAATAAATTACACTAAAAAAGAGAATTGAAACATTTATTCAGAAATATTGTGAAATATTTTGAAGATTTAAAAGCAGCAAATTTCAAAGTTCTATATTTTGAGTGGACGGACATTTGGGCACATGTTGTGCTTGAAATGAAAACGAAAAGTTATCTGAATAATTCTGCGATTAACAAATGCCGAAAAAGATGTGAAATTGATGATAATAAATCTCTTTTTGATATTGCAAACATAAATAGATTGATAATTATCACGGATCAGTGAATTGATATTGATTAAAAATCAGTAAATTGATAATTATTAGAGATTGATGGACTGACAACGATCAAAAATTGATAATTATTAGATTGGTGAACTGATAATAATTAATTGATAATTATTAGAAATTAATGAACTGATAATAATTAAGGATGAATGAATTGAAAATTATTAAGGATCAGTGAATTGATAATGATTAATAATGATTAAGGATGATTGATAATTATTGATAATGATCAGGAATCAGTATAAATCTGGAATTTTTTTGTATTCAACGTAATCAGAATGTTAATATATAAATAAAAACAAAGAAACGTAAGAAGTTTAAGCGTATAGGGAACAATGAATGAATGGGAATGAGGGAGAAAAGTAAGAAAAAAGTTGAAAGAAAAACATTTATACAAAATGAAAATCAAACAGTTAAAAAGAAGTTGTAAATTGTCAGCAACTATCGCTGACAGTTTATGATAAAATCACTGATAATTATAAATCAAACAGATATTCAATTACAGACATAACTAAATTATTGTGATGCGTAAAATTGAAAAATAGGAAAAATTAAAGTAAAAAATTTTATGAATTGAAATTGATTTTTAAAAAAAAAAAATTAGCAAAAAAAGCTTAAGCTTAACAGCTAGAACAGCATGAATTAAATACAAAGAGGGGAAAGTGAAAATAAATTAAATATAAGATTAAAAAGATTATAAAATTAAAAAAATGTAGAATAATAACACACTATTAAATATAAGATTAAAAGGTTGTAAAAAAAAGCAAAAAAGCTTGAAAACTAAAATTTATGATTTAAATAAAAAAAGTGAAGTTGGATAAATTATAATTTAAATAATGGCTTCTAATATTTGATGTAATCACGGAAATAGAAATTTCAAAACACTGGGTAAATTTACAATGTGAAAAAATTAAATCAATTTTAATATTTCACAACAAAGACCAATTGATAAAATTAATAAATATCAGTGCCACACAAATCGTTAACAATTAAATTTTACTAACTATAAATGTGCCTAATGGTTATGCAACAATAAATTAAAGCATTATCTCTAAAAAAAATGTTATCATGACTTTTTTTAACTGCTAATTATTTAAAATTGTTAAATATTTAAATTTCAATGAAATCCGTTTGTTGATTACTGTGTTTTTTTGTTATTGATTATTCGTTCATTTTTATAATTTAAATTATTAGTTATTTATAGCTTTTAAATGGAATTTAAAATTTGTAAACTTACATCTTTCTAATTTATATTTGTTGACAATAGCAATTTTTTTGAATATTTCAGAAAAAGAGAGAAAGGGAATGCGAAGAAAAAAGGAAAATAAATTGCATACACTTTATTTTACTTCACTTTTATCCCATTCAAATTTCATTTCAAATTATATTTTTTTATTTATCACTGCTGCGAATAAATTCTTCTGCATACGACAAATTAAGCTATTTATTTGAATAAATTTTAATTTCCATTGACACAAATATATTCATTTTAATTCGATTATATTGGTATTTCAATCTATATTATTCCTGTTAAGATGTTATTCCTGACGACTGATCCGTTTTTTGTATTAAATAATTTTACTTTATATACACTTTTACTTTTCTACAATTTCAATGATCATTATTAAATCAACTAAATGCTTTGTCCTGTCCTCGATCTTTTTTGATTTTATGCAATTGTTTTGGATCATAATCACTTCCAATGGGAAATTCAGTGATTTGATCACTGATAGATACTACTTTTTTGTGCTTCGAAATTGATCGATTACTTCTTAAAATTTTTTGAAGTTTTCTTGAAGACGTTGTTGTTCGTAGTGTTGCTATCTAAAAATTTTTTTTTCGTCATTTATCAGCTTTAGAATTTTTGTCTTTTTCAAATTTTAAAAAATCAACAGCTTATTTCATTGTTATAATAATTAATTTTTTTTTTTTAAATTTGAAAGAACTATCATTTTATAGTTGCGCATCATTTATTATATTTTGCGCTGTTAATATTTGGACTGTAATATTACAATAAATAAAAATTTCATTATTAAGATTACTAATTGTAATGAATTTAGGTGAATTTTTGAAAGGTAAAAAAAATGCTTGGTAGAAATGAGAAAAAAAATGATGCTTGGCTGTTTCTTTTTCGAAAATTTCTTATCAATTTCAAATTTTTCAATTTTCACTTATTATCTTATCAGTTTTCTTAGCAATCTCGCATTTTGACAGGAAAATTATGCAAAAATAGTCTTCCTGTGGAATTGACAAAAAATTATTTAATCCAAAATTTGCTATTTAATCAAAAAATTAAGGAAAAGGATGAGTTTGTGAAAAGTTTTTTGTGTGTAATAATAATTGATAAAAATGATACATGCCTGTCTTGCTGCTATAGGCACCACATCTTCAGGCATTTCAAGTTCATCGTCATAAATAATATTTTGCTCGACATTACTATGAACGAGTAATTCAACCTATATCAATCACTGTTATCAATTTTGTCACTGATAACGATATTAATGATAGTGTGTAAAGAACGATGATAGAAGAAATATAGAGCTGAAAATTATGACATCATTTTATTCAATGCTTTTAATGATTACATCTTAAATGATAAGTGGATAGTCTTTAAATAAATAGATTCGGATGACTAAGTACGAATTAGGTTACGTGTTAACTGGCATAGTTTGACGGTAGTCTTAAGTTATGTTTGCAATTATAAGTAAATTTTTGAAATACTTACGAAACCATTTTTCTCCATGCTTGCCAATATCCAGTATTGCAACATAGATTTTGATGCAACTGGATGATGATTTACTTCTCTAAGAAAGATTTAATAGCATATTTATCTGTTTACAAGTAATTCAAAATGAAATAAATCAAAGTAATTATTTATATGCAATTTGAATTAGTTTTGCTAATAACTGATGATTTATTAAAAATTCTACTTGAAGAAATTTTTTAATTAATATCAATAAAAATTTTTTTTTAAAGTAATTTTGACAATTTTCATATATGACATGTTTACTAGCATTGAAAATGTTTGTCAGCTCAAACTTAAACTTCATTAATTAAATTTTGAATTTTAATGTAATTTTATGCTTGAGATAATTGAAAAGTTAACTTAATAGTATCGCCTGGATGTAAGTGAATAGCAGCAAGGCTCCAGCATTTAGTTGAGGCTACTTGAAGTCGTTCTCGAGCATCATACGATACTGATAATCCTAACAAGTCACTCTCGTCTTGTGGTAACATATCGTTCGCATGAACACATATCTGATAACATCATCGAAAAATAATTAATATACAACAATGAATTAATCAATAAATTAATTAAAATGAAGTGAACAGGTAAGCAAGGCATAATTTATATGATATTAGTTATGGCTTATCACTTAAGAAACATAGCTTCCATTTGAAATAATTTACTATTAAATTTTCGACACTAATTTTAATGCAAAATTTAAATGAAATTAAAGCTGCAGATTTCTGATTATTTGTTAGATTTGTTATCAAATTGTTGGATAGATTTGTTATTAATTAAAATTTAGAAATTTGTTTTCATTATTGGTAATCAATGAATAGTTGTTACTCTGTAAACGTTCACAGCACGTAGCAGTTTAGTTTCACGTTTCATTATTAACATTTCAACAGTTGATTGAATATGATGACAATGAGAATGAGCATTTCGCCGAAGTTTTACATATGCCCGCTAAATATTTCAAAAATTAACAATCATTTTTTTCCATTTAAATATTTATCAATAGCTTAATTATTGCGATAAATTTGCTAAACAAAGTGAACATTTTCCTAAATTAAACTTTTCTTTCTTTTTGCATTTTATCAATAATATAATTGCTTTATTTATTGTTAAGATTGATAGCATTATTGATAGTAACTTTTTTTATTCACTGTTAAATTTTCCTAAATTATCAATCGCGTTTTGTAAATGTGAAACATTTTTAATTAAAAAATACAGTTGTTGGCTTTTGCATGGTTCTCACTAATGTCACTGAATCATGGATTTCGATATCATCGATTGATAAAATGATATCACCAATAAATGCCAAATTAGCTGCTGCGCTATGCTGATTCACGTATACTATCTAAAAATAAAATCTCTTCAGCTATCTTTTTTAATTTCAAAAAATCTTTTTCCCATTTTTCGATGTTTGTTTCACATTCCAACACGACGGATTAGGTTCGAAAAAAGAATTTATTTATTATTTTTTTTAAATTATTTCAAGAAAAAATGAAGTGTGAGCTGGAAAAATGAGATGAAATATGAATTGACATACCTTCCAGGTGTTCTTTTCAACTCTCAAACCAAACGGCTTATTCAAAATTATTGTTTCCTAAATATGTTGAAAATGTTTAAAAATTTGAAAATTTTTCATTTCAATACATTGAATTTAATTTTACAAAGATCTTTTTTTAATAACTATAATGATCATTGATTTTTATGCATTAATTATTGTGATTTATGATCATCAAAATAGTTATCACTGTATTACAAGTTATTGTTATCATTATTGTTATTATGGATTAATATTACGATTATCATTAGGACCATAATTATTCGTATAATTGCATCCATTAGTATGCTTCATTCAGTACAAACGGTATTTATTGTATCAGGATGATTTCATCATTATCCTTGTTTTAAATTTTCATTTCATAAACTTTTTAGTCGACAAATTAGCATTTGTCGCTACCTCTAATGGTTCCGGATGACTGCATCGCTTTAACCGATTATTTCCACTCTCAATCATTTAGCAATGAGTAATTCGACAACAGTGATGTTTGATATTATATTTCGCTTCATTTATACACTTTTGCTAATTGCTTTATTTTAATGCAAATTATGGATTTGAAATGAAACACTGAAAATATTGCTTTTATTTTGCATTTCCATTCTTTAAAATGTTCAGCCATTTCTTCGGATGATGTTAAAAGATATGATTTCACTTAATTGTTGCATTCAAATTCTGGATAGTTTAAACATTTATTTATTTAATTGTTGCATTTAAATTGAATTCTCAATTCTTTGCCTCGCGGTATGTCAAAGAGTATAAATGTCGATTGTCCAACTGTCCAATATGATTGATGATCTGCATTGTGAAAACAAAAAATTGTAAACTTAAATTGAAAAATTTTGATTCCCAGGATTAAATCCGAATCATTTTTACTTTCTCGACCGAATTCCACTCCAAAATTCCATTTCAAAATGTAATTTCTCGGAAGGAATTTTACCACTGCAACCAGTAAAAACAAAAAAAAAAACAAAAAAAAAGAAACAGACTAAAATAATATGAAAAAAATATAATATATTA